CTTCATCCTCTGCTCTCTGTCCTTCTCCTTTAACTATTGTATTATGCCCTTGGAATTTTGTCCTCATTACATAACTCAAATTTATTACCCATTATCTGCCATTATGCTGTCCACTCTTTAGCTTGTATGCCTCATGCTAACATCACCATTCATTTGTTCTTTCTGGGTCAAATCTTCAGCATTCTTGAATTCTCTTCCCCTGCTGACTGTCCCCTTACAGACATGTCCATGGCATGGGCATCCTGTCTCATATCTAGACCAAGCCCATTTCACCATCACTCCCTCAACTATGGCCTCTATCCCAGTTAGTCTTTTTCTTTTTTTGTTTCTAAGAAGCAGAGGTCCTCTTGCCTGTAGTTACTTTACCATTCAACAAGAGTAATCAATGCAATAAAGACAAATATATGATCATATCAAGTCCCAGGTAAATGTATCTGTGGTTTTTGGGTCCTACTACTTTATTCAAATTTCCCTTCTCTCCTACCACATCTCCTTACTGACAACAGCCAGGCTGTCATTGTTTAATTGAGCCACAATTTTCTGTGTCTCACATCACACAGATGTAGCTCCTTTAGCCTGGTTTTCTCAGGCTGACAAACTCTCTTTCTTCCCTCTCTGCTCCCATGACTTTGTAAACGCCTCAAAAAAGGGGCTCTTTTCACTTAGTGATAATGGTCTAACTGGACCTCTCCTTCTCTGCAGGTTAGGAGCTTTGAAAACACCAAAGTTTCTTGGTAAGTGCGTTTGCTATGTGTAAATGAATAAATGAATGTTTTGAATTTCAATCCTGAGAAAGTGAGATAAAAATAACATAGGATAGGACTGTAACAGGTACAGGTTTCATGGACTCTGCCCCTACTCCAGATGCTGGAACTCCAAATCCCATCAGTACCAAGAAGAAGCACGCCCGGACGTGAGGGCGGAGCTGAGCAGCCAAGTTGGGATAAAACCGGACATGTGGGCTCTGGGGGGACCTGGTGGTTCACAGCTGATCGTTTTGGCGCTCAATCGGTTTTCAGCGTGCCGGTAGAGTCCAAGTCAGCAGAACTGGTAGGACGTCCTAGTTAACCTGTGTTTCTCTCCCTCTTTCCCTGGGTTATTCCTTTACCTTTTTCCTTATCAATCCATTATTTAACCTTTTGAGTGTGTCCATAACACGATTGAATCGTAAGCGCACGGGTTAAGACCCACAGACAGGCAACCCAATTCACATTGGGGTGCCCTGTAACAGATCGAGAGGGAAAAGAAAGTAGTTTGGGGGTTGAAGACGTGTGGACAGCATCAATACAGTGTACTGGTGATAAACAAACATTAGTTAATGTATGCAAGGTAGTGTTTGAATAAAATAATGCAAATTTCCAGAAGGCAAATTTCTAAGTACCATAGATCTGGAGCTCACATTAATGATAAGCATATTAATTAATGATTTTCAGTTACAGTTGAAAGAAAATACAATTTACCAAAAAGCATTTAAGTGCTACATAGATGGCATTACTGAGGTTTCAGGGCAAAGATACTGGGTGGTAAATTTTCTGACAAAAGCTGATAGTCGAGCCTATGCACAAAACAATTTTCAAGGCAAAGTACAGGAGGTCAGGCACAATGCTTTGGGGAAATATTCTAAGGGATGATAAGAGGGCCTGTGGAAGGAAAGGTATATGGGCAGGAGGGAAGAGAAATCACATCAACAATGAAAGTTAGGCGACAAAATGCATCTTGTACTTCCTCTACTAACTTCTATCACTTTCACTTTATGGGTGACTAATAAGTATTGCACGAATTAAATGAATTTTCAGAAGTCAGTGTGGATGGATAGAGATAGACCTCAGGGCAGTGAGGCAATGTGGTATGGCGAGGAAATATAAAGAACAGATGTCGGTCTTCAGGTTAGGAGTGAAATGATGGGAAGAGTCATAATACTGCAGAAGTTTCATTACCAAAAAAGGAAAGGGGGTATACTGAATATATTTTGAAAGATGGCATAATCCTGTGTATAAGTAAAGATCAGTGATGTGACACTTTCACTTGTCACTCACAAGATGCACATGAAGGCATCCTTTTCATTGATTATTTGATCTGTCTTTCCCACTAATTTATGATCAGAGATTTGTCATTCCATAAGGTAAGTAGTTATTTAAGATCAAGTACCCTATTTTATAGTCATTATGTATCTCCTGAAGAGTTCCAACTAAGGTTAGCTAAACAATATGAATTTAATAATTTAGTATTTAATCATAATGGTTACATTTTAGTTGCTCGTTCCTAGCATAATGTGGGACAAATATTATTATTCTATGACAGTCTGTTAATAAGAAGATGATCAACAATAATAAGTTGTAAAAATGAGTTAAGTACAATTTTGTTTTTAGAGCTCCATTTAGATTTACTGGAATCCATTCATCTGATAGTACACTAAGAACAACACCAGACTCTGAGGAGGCCTCTTCCTATTAGATAAATTGCAACTTGTCCTGAAGTTTTGAAGTGGTGTTATGATAAGAAGAAGAATCTTACTGAACCATAGATCTGGTTCATAGATCCATATGCAGGAAAGAAAAGTAGGGACCAATTTTATACAGTGGCTGAGTGACACAAGCTATACAACGTCTATCGTTTGACAGATTCCAATAGATCGGGAAAAGCTCTGAAAAATCAAACTTTCCAATGCTAACTTATGTTATGACCTCCTTTTTTTGTATAATCTTAACATCAAAATATTCTGAACAACTTTCAGCTTACAATTGGATTGCCTCAGCAGCATAAGGCCTGCCTGCCTTGACAAGCAAGCACTGCACCAGGGTGAGAAATTCCTCTGAAGTCAAGTGACTTGACTACTGACTGATAAATAAAAACAAAAGGGCTGTTTTTGCAAAGTTTCTCTCACTGCTGGGTGGAGGATAACCCAAATCTTATCATTCTATTATCTCACCTAGCCTTCTATTCAGCTTCTAAAGAATTACTCAAACTTCCTATTGTCTGGCCTTTAGATGTAGAAATTCATCCAGGTTGCCTATTTTGGAACTAGTCAGGTTTTCTACCTGCTACACCTCAAAGGAATCCACAAAAGTCTTCTGGCTAGTCTTGCAGGTCTCTAGATAAGGAAATTCACCTATGTCTCCTATTCAGAGATTTGATTTGCAAGGAATTTCCTCTTCCTGCCTCCCAGGATGTCTCAGGTAGAAAAACAAAAACCCATTAAGTAGTAGATAAGGTTTAAGGGACTTTTATCTTAGTTGATCTCTACTATAGTAATATTAGTCATAAACTTTGTGCACCTATGTACCTGTTTTTAACCTTGATTGATTTTAGAATGTTATAATCTCAAGTAAAGGTCAACATGACCCCAGACTATTCTTAGAAAAAAAAAGATGATTGTAATCTCTCCACCCAGTTCATGTGCTGATGTCATCCCACTACTTGCTCCTAATGTATAAAATAAACTTCCGCAAAAGGTAGAACAGGAAGACTTGCACCCAACTCCGATTCCCGAGTCTTCCTCACTCCCGCTCCCCTTACTCCCCAATTTTTAGAATATTGCCTCTCCGACATCGTTTCCCACCTTGAGACCCTGCCTGCGTCAGCCTCTCAACAGCCTGAAATCGGGGTTGGTCCCCAAAGTTGAGAGAACCCAAATGATGACATAGGCACTGAATGAAAGTAAGGTTCTATTTAGAAACCTCCTGAACTAATGAACACCACAGTAGATGCAAGAATGGAATGTGGAGAGAAAATGAGCCAATGATGTGGTATAACTGGTAATCATGTTTATCACCTCTATACTACATTCCAAATAATATTCAAGTCTGTCTACTGTTTTTTGTGCTTGGTACTCTAGACATTTACCTTAAAAACACAATTTACCATGAAGATCTCCCAAATGTTCTAACAAACCAGTGCTAACATCTGTATAGTATTTTAATTGAGAAATATTCAAAATACGGCATACTTTATTATCATATGGGCTTTCAAACTGAATTCAAGGCTTTTCAAATTATTAAAACATATCCATTTGTGTGAAAAAAAAGGAACTCTCCTGCACTACTGGTGGGAATGTAAACTAGTACAACCACTATGGAAAACTATTTGGAGGTTTCTCACACTGCTACAAATGGAGCTTCCATATGAACCAGCAATCCCACTCATAGGTATTGGCCCAAAAGACACAAAAATACTGATTCAAAAAGCCACCTGCACCCCCATGTTTATTCCTGCTTTATTTACAACAGGAAAGACATGGAATCAACCCAAATGCCCAAAAGTTGATGACTGTATTAAAAAGATGTGGTACACATATACATAATCAAATATTACCCAGCAATCCAAAAGATAATTTGCAGCAATATGGATGGAGCTGGAGGGGATCATGCTTAATGAGATTAGCCAGAAAGAAAAAGAAAAATACCAGGTGGTTTCACTCATAGCCAGATCATAAAGGACCAGGGGAAAAAATAATAATAAATGAACAACTATGTACCAGAGACATTTTACAGGGGTGGGGTGGGGAATGGAATAAAAAATTGGAGGCCGGGAAAGTGCACTGGACTATGGTGATGGCACATGGGTGATTTGGCGATTGGAAGCTCATGGGGATTGTAACTGAGATGGAAAAAGGCACACAGTGATGTGAAAATAAACATATTATTAATGAAAAATATCCATTTGACTGGGTGACTAAAACTCAGATCTTCTGTAATGTTTTAAATTTAAATATTTTCATTAAAAAATTAATTCTCACTTTTCCCAGCTAGTGCATTTTCTTTCTCCAAATGTATATCATTAATCTAAACAATCAATCAGCTATTAGCATGTAAAACCATTGCTTCTTGTCAAGAGTGACAGAATACTCAAGTTGATTACCATTCATCTTTTACTCACCATTCTTTCTAAATTAGAAGAAGAGGAGTAAAACGAGTCATTGGTCTTTTATTAGATTAATACAGATAAATTTACTTGATTATATATAGGACCCTCATCTGCTCTTTGCCTCCTGTTACACTTACATATCACTGGCAATGGAGGAGTTCCGGGACATAGACTTTGGAGAAAGGTCATAGTCGCTGTCAGATCTATACAGGAAGGATTCCCGGCGCTGACTGTGGACAAAGTTTGCTTGGAGAATTAGCCCAGATCCTGGGCTAGTCATGGGATCCAAGGGACTCCGTCCCGAAGATGTGCCATTGTCCACATCAAAACTGTAACCAAAGGAGAAAAAAATCACGTGAGGAATATAATATGAACACTTGCAGGTTACTATTTGAGAGAGGGTATTTCAGCTTAGGAACTGGTGGTGGAAAACTTTAAGCCTAATTCCTGATAATGGAAAAAAAAAACCTATTAAAATACACAAAAGTAAAAAGAAATAAAAGTTATTATATCTTCATAGTCTTGTCTTCCTTAGTTACTTTGTTAACTAAGCAGGCACAAGGCAGATCTCTCTAATGTCACATTCATTGAACAAGGAACCAATCTGCAGAGAATATTTGTTTTAAGAGTAGAATTTCTGCTTTGGGAAGAAAACAAATAAAAAGCAATTCACATATATTTGGATTTAATTCAACCAGTGACCATTACATGATTAATGTTGTTGTTTCCCAGACATGGGATTCTTTCCCTTTTTTTAACTATCCCATCACTAACTTCTGCTGTATCCATTCCCCTCTGTCCACACCCACAAGATATCAAGTTCAGAATGCCATCAAATATCACCTACATTATACACAACCTTTGTAGTGTCTCTTGAATTGATTTTCTACCCTGTACCAAAAGTGAATATTCTTAAAATGTAAACTTGACTGTATCCTTCATCACTCGAAAACTCTTCAGTAGTTCACTACTATCCCAGACTAAAATCCTAATTTCTTGGCAATACTAATACAATCTTAGCAGTCTGTTCTCAATTACAATTAGCCTTTTCCCAACCTCGAGATGCAATGCTTTCCCATCAGTTGTATTCATATCATCTTGTCATAAACTGCCATAACCTAACCCTGTATTTCTCTAACGACTCAATCTTCCTTTTCCCTATCAAATTGTTATTGAACCTTGAAGACTTCGTTTTCTCCTGTAAAGGTTGCCTGGCTTCCCTAGAGCTTGATGAGATGCCCATTCTGTAGGCTCCCAAGGATTTTCCCACTGTCTACTGATAGCACAGACAATGAGTTGAAAATGTTTAACAATTCAGACTCTATTATGACACAGTGAGATTTCTGAGAATGCAGACTTTGAATATCCCTAACACTTCACAAGGGTTTCAGAAACCCTTACCAAGTGATTTGCATGGATGACTGAATGAAGCAAAGGCACCATGCTTGAAAATACAGATTTTAGAATTGGAGGAAAAAGAACCATGCATATACAATCCCTAATACCATGGTCAATAATACCATGGCAAATAAACTTCTCAATGTAGAGATTTTCTAGTCAAATACCAACCAGTATTAACGTCAATTTTCATGTGGTCTAGGAATGGGTGAGGGCTCAGGATTGCCAGTGAGGGTAGGCAGCTAAAAAAAGATAATTGGGGCCCTCCTTGGTGGCGCAGTGGATTAAAGCACAGCACTGAGAAGAAAGCCACTTCAGCATGAGTTCGATCCCCACTCGCCGTGGAGGTGATCCACATGGCGGGAAGACCTCTCCTGACCGGCCTGTTGCTCCCCTCAGCAATGTACTTCATTGATCTGCCTGTTCTGCTCCCCGCTCTGTCTCTGTTGAGTCCTCTTACCACCCCCTGCACCTCTGGCCTGTACACTCATTCTGTATGGATAAATAAATAAATCTTAAAAAAAAAAAAAAAACTGAATCAACAAATGAATTCAATAATAACAAATTAGTTATTATCAATGCTTTCCCCCATTAAAACCTTTTTCCAAACTATTAACTGCTTAACTTTAAGTCTTTCTTTTATTTAATGTATTGGAATTTTAATAAATAGTGTTAAGACCTAAAGATATGGAATCTAAAGTGGGAGGGTAAACTGGTGGATTGATGTTTCACAAATCACCGATGAATCCATAACCATAAGAACAGTGACTCCAAATCAATCCACCTAAGACAAAAAGGAAGGAAAACACATAATCTAGTTTGATCACACCTAAAAATGATTCCTAATTGAAAATGTCCTTAGTATTATGTCAGTATATATTTGTACTTTATTTGTTCTTTGAAGAGATGAGAAATTAGTTGAGCATATTCAATTAGACTAGCAGGCTCAGCTCCTAAAATTTTAACTGATCAAAGTTAGTGAACTAGCTAAATGTAATCTCCCATTCCTAAAGTTTTTTCTTAAGCTCTAATGACTAATTATGTGAATCACAAATATATGCTGTGACTGTGTTACCTAAATAGGGGCCCATCTGTTTCACAGATAATTCCTTTGTGGTCATGGAAGTCTGCAATCCTGCAGAGAGCCAAAGGGGGAGGGAGCTGTAATCATTTAAGATATCTGGCAACCTCTTCTTGGTTATACTAAATTATAAACATAACTAATTACCTACTATGAACACACAGAGATACAAAAATAAAGGTGATAAGATGAATTTAGGCTGGACTATCTGCAAAGTTATTCACATAAGAATAACAGTTAAAGAGGGCTGTTGAAGGCATTCAGTAACAAGTGAAAGGTATTAAAAACCTCTAAAATATGGGGAGCACAGGAGATTTCTGTTCTAGGAAACCAATCATGGTAGCTTGTCAGTATAAGGAGGATTTAAAAAGGTAAGTATATAAAAAGTTTTTGTAAGTATATAAAAAGTTTTTATTGATTTCCCCTCGATAAGGAGAGGTTCTGTTTTAGAAAATAAAATGTGATGTGGTATCTAGCACATTGGAATCTTACCTAGTTATAAAAATGTGAATTTATCGTAATACTTGTGACTGCATGGATGGATCTTGAAAGTATTATGTTAAGTGAAATAAGTCAGACAAAGAAAAATGCTGTATAATTTCCTATGTGGAAGATAAAGAACAAAGAAAATGAACAAACAAACAATATTAAACTCTAAAATACAGAAGGATTGGTGGACACCAGTGGGTGATAAGGGTGGGATGAGTTAACGAGGTAAAGGGAGTCGAACTGTTATGTTAGTGATAGAAACTAGATTTTTTGTAGTGAACAGGATGCAGCATATACACACACACACAAAGTGTGCTGCTGTGTACCTGGAACTCTATAATGATATAAACAGATGTTTTTCTTTTCCCCCCATGAAAATTTAAAAAAAGGATACAAGGAATCTTTCCTTCTTATGCATAAACATAAATATAGGAGATTAGGAGTGCAATTTTGGTTTAGTTTTTCTTAGTTCAAATGACCCAGAGTCATACGTACGGGAAAATTATAATAAAAATATGAATGAATTATACGAACTCATTGATATTTTTATTATAATTTTCCCGTAAAATACTTGGTACAGATTATTCTAGGAACATTGATAGTTTTCTTTATAAACTGTAATATAATAATCTGTCCACTAGATGGAGATCATTTTCTTAAGGAAAATCTGCTGTAAATAAACATAAAGGCCTCAACTGTATTTTAGACTTATGAAAATAACCTTTAAAATTTTATCCCCTCAAACCTCAAAAACCACAAGAATTTATTCTCAAATATTTCTCAATTATATTAATATAAGAAATACTAATATTACTTTATAGAGAATTAAGAACTAAAAATGGTCCCTGATATTTTATTGAAATTCTACTGTAAATCAAACCCTAGCAAGATCTCTCATTCAAATATTAGAACCAGAAGAGCCTCTTTTGGGACAGGTCAAGGCAGTACATTTACACTGTGTGTGGTGAATTAACTGGAAATGAGTTTAAACTGAAAATACAGATGGCATTTATGGTGGTGTAATAGTGGGGTGAGGCCTGAGGTGCTGGAGTGAAAGAATTCACCAGAAACAGTGCAGAGAACAGGAAAGGCAGTTTTATTGAAATACACCTCAAAGGAGTAGAGAGTGAGACAAGAGATAGTTCTTCCATGAGAGGAAGGATGCGATGATCTTTTGTATACTGTTTCCGCGGGGCTTTCTTACTTGGGGTACCAGTTTGCATCAGTTATCTGCTGGGGTGTCTGGTCTTGGGCTCTGGCCTTTGACAAAGAGTATGTCCTGATCCTACTTCTGCATTCCTGAAATTTATCTCTTCAGTCATGGCAATTGGTCTTATGACCGCGTTCCCAGAGGAACCGTATCTATTCAGCTGTCTATTCTTGCTTGCTGGGCAAGGACCTGGAGCTTGGTTTTAAGTTTATTAAATGACACCCCCATAGCTGTTAATCAGCTTCCTATTTTGAAACAAGTTTTATAAATTGTCCATGTTAGGGTATTGTTAATAAAAGAAGAAAGTGATGACAGGTAATCCTAACCTTAGACACTGGTACCAAAGAGTTCACTTGTGAGTTTCTCAAATGCCTTCTGTAGCAAATACTTTAATATAATGAGTAATGCTCTTTGAATCACTGTTAATGAGATGGAGGCCAAGTAGAAGATTAGCTGACATTTGGTAAGTACTATAGAATAGGGATAAAATTGGGGAGAGTAATAAGGTCCCAGCCTAAAAACAATGGTACAACAATGATGATAATTTGATGAAATTTGGGGGGGCACTTCCCATGTGCAAGATACTGTGTCCTATGCTTAATAGATATGATCTCACTGAATCTTCACAATGGCCACTGATGTTTGTGACTTGTTGCAAACAAAGCCTCTTACAAACCACTAAAAAGTACAAAAACATCATCTAACTTTCTTACTTGGATGGCCGTTAAAAAGTTAAGTTTCTGAAAATCATTTTTTTTTAATTGAGGTATAACTAGATTGTGAAAGTTTCCAGGGCCCTCACCCTACTCTAGCAGGCAGGAGAGTAAAGGGGTCTTCACAGGCTCTGCAGGAATTTGATGTCTTAAGGTAAAGTCAGTCTTTCCACATACACTGAAGACAAAAAAGTCAGATAAAAAGATGGCCTGGCACAGCACTGCAAAGGAGCCACAGTCACTTCAGTGTGAGTTTGATACCAGCTCCTGGGCTCCCGCTGCTCCCCTCAGCATTGTATTTGGTTGATCTGCCTGTTCTGTTCCCCACTCTGTCTCTGGTGAATCCTCTAACCCCCATTCACCAGTTCTATATGAATAAGTAAATCATTAAAAAAAAAAAATGGCCTGGCAGGTAAGACATTACCTGCCAGCTAACAC